TAAAGAAATATTTGGAACTCAAATATATTAAGACGTATTATTATTCACTAACCCCTACGTAACAAATACTATGACGAATAAACGATGGAAGACTTCACGACGTATAATAAATTATCAAAGAAATATGATACGCGATAAATCTGAATCTATGAAGACATTGAGTTACATTTCCATCATGTCAGCCGCCAAATTAATTGACCGCATATCGAATTACTAAACCAATTTCCACAAAGTTTTTGTAATAACAGTTTATAGTTATCCGTTGTAATAAAGGGTTCCCGTGTTTATTTAAATTATTTTTTAAAATGTGATTCTAATTTCGAAACTGTCAAACATTTCTTTCGTTAAACCACTAAAAAAGCCTTTACACTAATTATTATTTTGAAGGTGTACAATAATTTGCAATAGTCGTGTATGTACACGTATATTAAATAACTAGCTTTTGCTCGCGACCATCCGCGCAGATTAAAAAAAAAGTAATAAATATAGCATATGTTACTCAGTTATAACACAGCCATCTATTGGTAAAACATTGTTTTAATCGGTTCAGCAGTTTTTGAGATTAATAATTAAACATAAAAACAAAAACATTTTCTCCTTATAATATTAGTACATGAAATAATTTATTAACAGAACGAATCAATTTAAACATTAAAGTCTAAAATATAACAGCATGAAAATCTTAACCACAAAATACACCCATCGAACTGCAAACAAAGTCCTATACGTACGGTACCCTAAGAGTTTCCTACCCTAATGGAGCCGGTCAATTACTTAAGACCCGGGTAGACTCGATCATAAATCCGGGCTATCGATCAAAGCTCGCCCGGTCACCGGCCACACAACACCCGGATGAAATATAGCTTTTCTATTTTGTGAGCTGCAACGAACCGGTACCGGATTGATTTATTATCCGGCTATAAACTTGCTTACGGACGATTAGGTTTTTTTTTCAACGCTAGTCGTCTACCAAAATGTTTGCAAGTCGTGGCGAGTGATATGTTTACATCAAAAGTTAAACGTTCGTAAAATTAAGACAAATTTCTTAGGAAAGTTGACGTTGAAAAGATTGAACTTGTCACACACTTTTAGATAGGAATTAAAAAAAATAAAAGAAACAAATGTTACTGTCCATAAATACTAGGTGGAGTCTGTTTAAAAAAAAAGAAACAATTTGTTTCAAGTTACGCTAAGGATATCGATACTAATATATACTTCCTCATATATCTTTAATTTCTTATTTTTACATATAATATATTTTACATGATTTTTATCTATACTATTATTATAAAGTGAAAAGATTTTATTTTTGGATTTTCGTATATATTGAAATAACTTAAAAACTACTGAGCCGATTTCAAAAATTGTTTTACTTATTAAAAGCTACATTATCACTGAATAACATAGGCTACATATTTTAATTACATGCGGACGAAGTCACAAGCAACACCTAGTCATTTAAAATCATTAAAAGTTATGGTGATTGAAAAGAAAAATTAAAAAATTAAGCTCCGAATGAAACATGGCCCGTGTTATAATTTATGAAAAAATATTCCGCGTTGACCTTTCCCTGAGAGAAAGAAATGAGATAAAAAGGGGCGACAAGATTATTAAGATCGTCACAAAACGATTTTAATTAAAACTTGGAAAAGTTTAATTTTTGACAATAAAATGTTGGACGAGCTGTTCTAAAATGCCGCCGAAGCGATTTTAATTATGGATGAATCTGCAAATTTTATAACGAACATTTTTGCCTTTTACGGACTGAATTATTAAAGGACTTTCGCCACAATTAGGATAAGGTCACGAGGGTTCGGGATTCGAAACTATGCAGAAAATCTCAACTGAAACATTGTCCCAACAAACTTCGAAGATTCATTTCAAGCCTCTGGAATTTAAAGACTAACCTCAAAAGATTATTCGTAACTATACAACTTTGATACAAAGTTTTAGAGATTTCAAAATTTTACAAAACAACATATTTTAAACATAAATAAAATATAAGTCATAAAATTATAGAATCAATTATTGTATCGACAAAATTACCTCAAGGGAATGAAAAAAGATTTATTATACCAATGTGATACCAAAATGTAAGTATATTTGTTTATAAAACAAATGAATCAAAATAAATTCCAAGATTCAGTTAAAACTTTTCAAGTCGACTTTTTGACTAAACAAGAAAATGACCTGATTCACGTTAATCGTTATTCGATATTTAAATGACACAAAAAGAAAAAAAAGTAAATTCAAAGTCGACAAAATGGGTCACTACCAGCCAGTGTTCACTAATTTAGGTCGGAAAAGTTTAATCGACTCGAAATGGCGGAGACACGCCGCGCGCTCGTTCCCGCGTCATGATAATTGGATGCTTCCGATTTGCTGCGGCGCGCCGTTTAACTGCGAACGGCAATTAAATGGCGGCAAAATTTGACGAACTAGTGACGTACCTGACAGCTCCTTGTCTTTTATACGATGCAAAAAATACTAAAGAGGTTGCATTATCTTCGTTTAAGAAATCATTTTCTCACGAACGTATCTACAAGTTTTTACTAGTGTTTTGTTTTTATAATGCGTACATTTTAGGTCATTTTTATATATCTTGGTTACTTCATAACCGTTTAGCTTAGTTAAAAATACAGAATGTAATTAAAGCTACGGAGATATAATCTTGACAAACTTAATAAATCCTAGTAACCAAAAAAGTCAACGTGAATACTAGATGAAATTCTTAATTACTATAAAAAGTTTTTCGAAAATGTGGATATAAAATTAAAATACCTATTAAAGATCCAATACTTTTCGGTTTAGATAAATAAATGGGAAAACAATGCGAACAATCGACAAATATTTTCTTCCAATTCGTAGAAATATCGGCCGGCCGCCGCTTACCTGCCCCTCCCCTGTCCCTCCCCTGCGTGTGGCCCAAATCAATTGGGAGAGAAAACCCCGTATAATATAATAGAAATTGAATTATCGCCAGAGATGAAGTTGAAGGACGCTAGGGTTGTTACATTGACTTTTCTATTCCTAAATAATAATTAAAAAAACATTAATTTCTTTTTAACAATTTGTAATTATTAAAAAAAAAATTGAAAATATGCTGTAAACATTGTTATAAATATTTTGAACCAAAATGTCGCTTGAAACATGAATTCAATCACTAAACGAGATCACTAAATGCGCGATTGAGATTTTATAAAACTTCCGGCTATAGGAAAGGGTCAGTTTGTTAAAAAAAATATATTTTGCTATTTACAATCTAGACTGTAGACAGTAACATCCCTAGATCGTGAGGGGAAATAAGACGTGCGCCGTCAAATGAAAGAATCAGTAATTCGATTGTATTCGCTAACAATCGATGCGATACCGAATGGGATGTTTGTTCCCGAGTTCCGCTAACGTAATAAACGAAAATTGTTATAGAAATCGACAATGCAACAGGTCCATCGTTACATTGACGGTTATGTTACATCGTTTCGTTGCGCATCTGCAGAAAGAATGGAATGGAAATCAATTTGAAAACGATTCGAATCATCTATAGTTACGACATGCGATCAAGATGTGTATTGAATAGGGATGCTGTCGTTGGGCATATAAACAATATGTTTATTTTACAAACAATATACGTTACAAGCATTGTATTTGTCACTTCTGTTTCATAGACATAGAGGTTATGACCGTGTCAGAATTTTATATTTCTCACAATAATCATATCACACTAATATTATAAATGCGAAAATTTAGATGGATGGATGTTTGTTAGAGTTTGTAACCTAAACGGCTGAACGGCTTTCTATGAAATTTGGTGTGGATGTATGGAATAGTCTGGAAGAACACATAGCCTAAGCACTTTTGATTTTTTTTATTTACTCAGACAGAGTAGTGGGCGAAAGCTAGTATGTTATACTACGGATTCGATACTATTTTAAATAGACTTAATATTTAAGTTACAATTAAGTAAGAAATTACAATGAATATTTGTTAAATATTTCCCTAACTTTATTAATTAAATAAAATACACCAGGATATATAATACATAAAGCAAAGTTTAGCAAATACGAAATACAAAAGTTAATTAAAATCGTTTCTTGTTTAATAAATCAAACAAAACAAATTTGTAGAAAGGTTTCCAACAATGAAATTAATAACTAATTACATTGTCTGTGCCGACGAGCTCCGATTGCGTAAAAACCCGAAGAATTGAATAAAATTGTAACTTAATTTAACTTCGATTCCAAACAATTCCGAATCGAAAATTAGGAAACTTTTCAAGCGAAGTAATTTGAGGCAATTTGAATACGATTCGACGATATTTGACACGTAAGAAATTCAGTTCATCCAAATACGTTGGAGCTTGTTATTTTTACATTTTTATACATTTAAAAAAAAACCGTTTGAAGATCGAAAACAGGAATTCTATCAATATCTGGTATTTACACTAATACACACTTCATGTTAGTGCGACACTAGGATAAAATGTAATTCTAATATTTTACGCGTTCCATGAACACAAATATGGATTACGCAATTGTTTCATCATATTAGTGCTGATTAAAATAGGCGTATCTAAAAATATCATCGTCATAGATAAATGCTGTATTTATTTCAATATTAAAAAAGAAAGAATCAATTGCGTTAACAGTAAACATTGTAGTGCAATTCCATAGAAATGAAAAAATATAACAAACATCTAAAAATATTTTCCTATATAAAAGTGTTATCAGAGACTTATTAAAACAGATATTTATAAATATAAACAAATACACAGACAATAAATAACATCAGCAACCATACGTATAAATATATTTTCTCATTTCCATTAAATATGACCATAAGTATATCCGGCAAATATCTTGCGGACTATCTCATAGTTACAATACCGTTCTTCTCTTGAGAACAATTAATATTTAGATAATATTTCCAATTAAAATTTACCCAAATAAAATCTATATCAAGTTAGTTGCCGGCCACAATAAAACGATACAAATAACACTTACCCCGCTTAACGTTTTGATATTATGTAAAGCATCCTGGGCTTTCAATGCCGCTTTCCGCGTGAAAAACGTCACAAAACAGCACCCTGTAACAGAAGCGCACACTTACGTAACATGTACACACACAGACAATCACTGATCATATCTACGTACATAAATCACAATTCGCCACACAACAAAAAAATTAGCTTATGAAAATAGCTTACGACATAAAGGGTTCGGTCACATCGAGAAAAGTTCATCAAATTTAATTATTTCTACATTATTATTTTCAAGCTCGAAAACTAAATACTGTCACGCATATTATTTGACAAAAAGCATATAAAACAAAATAAACATAAAAATTATATTCTAAACAAATTCGAGAAAAGAATAATAAAGTTTAACTGTTACAAATATTACTAAATATAAAAGCGAAAGTTTAGATGGATGAATGTTTGTTAGAGTTTGTAGGCTAAACGACTGAACCGATCTCAATGAAATTTGGCATAGACGTAGAGGATAGTGTGGAAAAACACATAGGCTACTCGATTTTAACTCATTTATTTCCACGCGAACGGAGACGCAGGTGAAAGCTAGTCAATTTGTAAACATGTGTAACAAATTTCTTTTTAATGTTTTTACTTTATAAATTCAATGTTCGTTATACCTCCAATAACGTAGGCTATAGTAGGGTTATTAGAGTTTTAATCTTCGTTGAAGGCATTTCGTAAAAAGTCAGCCAAAGTATTCGTCACGCGAACCTCAATGCGTGCGTGTTCGACGGGAAAATAGCATGTTCGAGCTAATCAGTTTGCACGCCACCGTCACTGGCAAACTGGCTGAATGGTGACTTTGCCTTTGCCTTTAGTTCATTTGTATACTAACTCTCGGATTTAACTGTTGTCAGTCAAACGTCAACATTATCTATAGTCAAACAAGGATAACCTAAAAAGAAAAATCAACAATTTTGTAAACTAACAATGTGATCTAAAGCGTCTTATTTTGACCAACTGCACGGGTGAATGTTGCCATTTTTATAATTACGTATAAAGTCTACTTCGTCTTTAAATAATAAGATGTATCCATTTAAATATTAAATAATTACTACTACTTATTGATGAGAAGTATCGCTTTGGCGGCTAGGTTTGTCAGAAAATATGTAAAACCTTCATGAGTGTAGAAACTGGCATAAAAGAAAAAAAATTGCAAAAAACAAATATTGCTTGACAGTTACAGCATGAGAAAGACCTTGAGACATTTTTTGACATTGAAGGGAGGGCGCTAGTGTGCTACGATATTTTCGTTTGTATTGAAATTTAGGATCTTGTCGCTTGTATTGTTGTTAACCATAACTAAAACGCGAAATATGTAAAGCAATTAATTTGGTTTTGTATTAAAATGCACAAATAAAATTAGCTGTCTATTTTATGATCGTGTGTGGAATTTAAATTTATTTGTACATATAATGAAATTGGAGTATCTGTTTGTAATATCAAAAAAAAAAAGTCTAGATTTCGGGAAGATGATGTTTTTTCGTTGCTGATAACGAAAATAGCATTTTTTTTTGTCTGTCTGTCTGCAAACCACGTTTGTTTGGGGTAATCTCCGAAACGGCGGGGACGATTTTGATCGAACTTTCACTGAAGGGTAGCTGACATAGAAGTGCATATTATAGGATAATTTTAATCTTAAATTTGGGTGGACGAAGTCGCGAGCAACAACTAGTTAATAATATAATTTAATAAAACGTGTATTTGAAATATTTTAAAGTAACATTTTAAACCAAGCGTTGAACTGCGTGCTGATATTTATGAATCAAATTCAATGAAAATACAAATATGAAAATGAAAATGTGCCACTCATTTTGATTATTGGTCTGATTGCGGTCGATTGGTATCGTGCTTTTTGATTTGAAATGAAGTATTTTTGTTTTAACAATTGCTTTTCGTGATACCAAACATTTAATATGGTGGTGTTTTACCATTGTTCATTTTTTAATTGGCGAAACTGATCTTGGTAAACTTTATTCAGATGCAGAACGCATTCTGATAGAAAACAACCTACTTAGAATCCTGCAAATGTGTACGGTTCCCGTTTTACTTTCTTACTAGCTTTCGCCTGCGCCTCCGTCCGCGTAAAATTTAAAAAAACAAAAACAAAAATATGTAGCCTATGTGTTCTTCCAGACTATTCTCTACGTCTATGCCAAATTTCATATAGGCTACAAACTAACAAGCATCCATCCATCCATCTAAACTTTCGCATTAATATTATTTAGATTAACTCGATAAATCCGCAACAGTTAAACATATTTTATTTAAATTTAGAAAAGGTATAAAACATAGTCTCTAACAAGACATTAGATGCTTTTAATGCTCTTTTTGTAATTCTGAGCAGATGAAAGGGAAAAAGTTGGTTTTTAATTCCTCCGATTTTTTCAGCACTACTTAACAGTGATGTAAGCTTAAAATTGATTTAAAAAAAATCTTTAAACAGTATATAATTAAAAGTGATGATTATAAATATCTTTTCGCTGTTATAACCGTATACTGAAGATCAATAATCCTGAATAGGGATATAATATTCGCTGGAGACAATTTATCGTGACCTAACAAAACACTAAGGCAACAGAAAGTCCCGGGCGACCAATTGCGAAGCGATCTATTATAGGGGGAGTTCCGTTAATTTAATTCAGGACCGAGAACAGTAGACGAATGGCGGGGATAAAATAAAACGGTAATGTACACTTTACACTGACTTAAAAATATTTAACGTCGAACTTGATAGATGATTTCGACCGATTTTTTAGCAAAGAAAATCTAAATGTACTAAGTTCTTGATTCTTTTTTTAATGTAATGAGTAATTTTATGTTACTGTCAAGATTATAGAACGGAATAAAATAGTAATAGCGGTGTAGAAATTTTAAATATTGAACAAATATTAATTGAAAATAATCATTTCAGAATAGGTCGATCTGAGACAATTTTCCCGCCATTTTCCTAATTATTATTTTAGTCTCTCAATTTAACTAACATTTCTAAATGTATTTAAATAAAAACAACTTAATCAAGTATTTAATACGAGTTGCCTTAGTACACTTTTTCCAACAAAATGAGACATAATGTGGAGATGTTGAACCAAAACAAACTAAGACAACAATTAAATAACTCGGTGACGACAACAAAATAAAACATAATAATGTAGACGAGACAATGGTCCATGGCTGAATGAGCCACGCCTGGGGCAACTGGCATCGCCCATATCACTGACAATAAGGTACGTTTTCGCTTGGCATACTAAAGGAGCTTTCTCAAACAAAAGACGCGTAACAAAGCATACAAAAATGTCAACATGTACGCTCGCCTCTTTGTTGGAATGCAAAACAATGATGCGACGGCCGACGTGTGTGTAAAGGCCCCTTAATAAAGTAAACGAAAACTATTATCCGAATTGCGGTAAAAGTTACATTAAATTATATAGGAGTGTTCACTTGAATGGAAGCTTATCCATGTTATGATATTCCTTGTATAAGAAAGAACGATATTTTACACCTCTTTACACAATTAATTAATTCGCACACATATTTTCAATATTTACCTGTAAATTATTAGTTAAAATGACATGACTCAAATTTACAACTAAATGAGAAAAGTACCGCTTAATATAAGAGTGACAAATTATGTGTCTTTGGAGTATCTTTACATTGATTGTCAATTTTAATAATTTTAATCTGATCAGTTGATGACCAATTATTTAGTTACGGTAAGAGTATCCTGGTCATTATAAATGTTTTCGTTTACAAAATCTCAAATTAGTTCCGCACCTTTACTCGCTCCCGTCATCTTGTCCCGCAGCACGTTGATCTGGTGCACACGGCCAAACTCCTCGAACATCTGCCGCAGGTCGTTCTCGTCCATACTCCGCGGCACTTGCCCCACGAACATCTGGAATAAATTTTAAAAAAATATTATAAATCCAATCTATACTAATACTAGCTTTCGCTCGCAACTCCGTCCGCATGGAATTGAAAAAACAAAAGTGAATAGCCTATGTGTTCTTCCAGACTGTCTTCTACATTTATGCCAAATTTCATCGAAATCCATTCAGGCGTTTAGGCTACAAACTCTAACAAACATCCATCCATCCATCTAAACTTTCACATTTATAATATTAGTAAGAAGTAAGATTATAAAGAGGATATATTTGTATTTTTGTATGCATTGAAATAACTCAAAAACTACTGGACCTATTTCAAAAATTTTCGCACCATTAAAAACCTTAGTTATCAGTGAGGAGCATAGGCTATTTTATTTTTATTTTTTTTATATCACGGGGACGAATTCACGAGCAACAGGTTGTAGCAAATCAAACTTATAAACGGGAATCTGTTCCCCTAACCTTTAGACTATCGGTGTTACAGAAGGTAAAAGTCAATCATAAAGAGTGGCATATATAAGTAAAAGAAATGTAGTTATCAGTCCGCAAATTTTTACTTAATGAAAAAAATCTCATGGAAACAAATTTTCACTACATTACTCTCATAATAAGTCAGCGTCAGCAAAAGTGGGGTAGGTAGGGAGGGTTAAAGCAATCAGCGGTTACACCGGCGCGCCGGCGGCGCAGCAGCGAGCGGTCGCCTGGAACCTTTTTAATTACGCCAATATATCACTTCATTTGTGAATTTTCAAAGTTCGCACTCATTTAGCTTGCACAGGTAACTTTCAGTCGCATTTACGGTGATTTCGCCACTGAATAGCTACCGAATTAGCTTCACGGGGCGATGGTTTGAATAAGTGATGTGGAAATATTATCTAACTTCACAACTTTAGTGTAGGGAAATGAGGCTTGATAGCACAATAATTAATTTTAAACATTTATAAAAGTTTCCGACCATTTTAGGCTTTAAAGGCATACATTAGTCGCCAATGGTTTGGATAGGGACTACATATCTTGAAGCCGAGGGTTCGAATCCCGCCACGACTATTGTCGTGAACCATATCCTAGCACAAGCCTAGAGCTTAGTTGGAATGGTCAAAGGAAATATTATTAAATTAACAAAAAATCTAATAACATTAAAAAAAAGCATACCTAAAAGTAGTACATTTAATAAATATCAATTCGTTATGCTTAGTTTAGTAAATAAAAATAGTGAACTGAGGCGTATTCACTTTTTTACCCATCAAGAATAATATTTAAACAAGGATGCTATGACCAGTTGTTATTCTTCTCGTAGAAACATAAACTATGACGTAAAAACAAATGACTATCGTCTATCAATGAAAGCAATGATTTATTTATATTCATTAATAATACCTTCAGCTCTAAGTATAATATGATTCATTTAATAAGTCACAGCACATTACGTATGATAGTATATACCTTGGCTTATTTCTTTCACGGTTAGTGACCTGAAACGTATGGGCAATTTATTTGACGTCAGCGGAAAGCATACATTGATATGATAAATGTTTCGTATTCTCAGTCTGCCGGAATACTTTCGACCTTAATGCGAGAATCGCGTTCCCATAACAGATAGGCTTATCTTCGAAACACCTTTACAATCTAGGTCATATGAGGCCAACTTAGTATGGTGTCATTTTTACTGTGCTTGATTTGAACTCTAATTGTGTTGAGTATATTTTTATTTTCTTCATTTATAAGAATTACTTGTTCTAGTATATAAAATACTTTATGTTCAATGCTATATACAACATTGTTGCTAACAGTGTCTAGTAAAATTTTTGACATGCTTATTTATACTTCAATACTAATATAAAAAGCGTAAACACACACAACTTCGTGGCGTAGGATATCAGCAATCACGACACGCTGAAGGCAACATATTTTCATGCTATAAAACTGAGGGGGTAAATAAATTGAAAAAAGTACCCTTCCTCTGAGAAAGGTACCATAAACTACAAGCTGCCAACATTAGGGAAGCAAAGTTAGGTAACGGTAATTTTGACATTTACCATTGAGAATTAGACAAATGTAAGTAATAAAATAAAATTTTTGTAATTCAATGAAGATGAAGCCGCGCGTGAACAGCTAGTGTAGTATAAAGCCTCTTATGTCTTATTACTTTAATCATTGGATTAATTCCAAATTCATCATAAACATTGAGTTATGTTTAAACAAAGTTTTAAGCCTTACAGTTAAAGATACATTCTGATAAATTATTATTTACTAGATGTTCCCGTGCGACTTCATCCGCATAAAATTATATTTTATTGTTTACATGTGTCAAATAATAAATTGCAAATGTCAAAATGACATGACGTGATGAATAAGCATGGCCAGCTTGTTTTCTTGATGTTGGCAGCAACTTATGGTCTCTTTCCCACATTTGGTTTTTTATCTCAAATATGGTATGAAAGTTAGCCTAAAGCGTGACGTAGGTGTAGGGATTTTTATTAAAATAAAAATTATTCAAAGATATGCTGTAATTGCTGATATCTAAGACAACAAAGAAGTATGTGTTTACGATTTATTATAATAGTATAGATGAAATTGTAAATTAATTAAATCAAATATTATTCACAGATTTCAAATGGGTTATAAAATATTTAGTTGCTACCCTTACCTTAATATAATCAGGATCTGGCATCTCGGACTTCTCGTCATTGTTGTTGTTGTTTATACTTGTATTGTTGTTGTTATTGTTGCTAATGCTCATTGTAATCCCACTGCAACAAACATTATAATATTTTAGACACATCAAAACTTAAGATTACTTGTTAAAACTATTACATTTTGAAATAAAGCATAGAACTTGCTAGAAAGCTTGGTAAACTAATTACTTAGGTTGTACAATTTTTATACAATACTTTTGAGGTAAACATTGGAATTTCTCCTATTTACAGTAAGTTTGGATTAATAATACTAGGATAACTAAAGGGTCACAAACCTAACTTCACTAGTGGATAAAGGTATTGAAACTGTTTCAATTTTTATGTATTATATCGCTAAAATTAAAAAGCTGTAATAAAATACGATCTTTTTGTCAACTTAATAAACAAATTAAAACATAATCCGAATGATGTAGAAAACATACAATTATTACAAATAGTTAATGAACCATAATTACAACCTTTAAGAATAAAACTCCGTTTTAATAATACAATTGTTACTTAACCTTAAACTATAAAAATAATAAGACAACACAAATAACAAAGTCCAGTATAAAAAAATCCTTAAGTGCCCTATTTTGGGCTTGATTTTGCATAATTTCTTATCACTATAACATCAATATCTAAGTATCAATATTAACTTAACAACAAATAACAATTTTACACAGACATATCAAAACTTTATAGAAATAAGATCAAGTGTTCTTAGTGTATAAATAATACTAGTAAAACATATTGACACTACAACATACGCTATAATATTACCTGACCTAAAAGAGCATAAAGTTTTTAGGTTATGTACCTTATTCGAGTGTATTTTGTTCTCCAGTTGGCGTACACGCCGCACTTGTTTGCCATCGCGTTATCACTGATAAGAGCATACATCGCTCGATTAAGGCACCTCCTTATCAGGCCACGTATCAATGCGATCAACGCATATACCGCGCGACAAACTAATACATTTCATAGCTATTTTGTTTTCTACCTACGATTTCAGAGTTCTAAATTCAAACTGAAAGGTGCCTGAAAATTATTGACTGACGTTTGTTAAGACTAAGATCGCCCGCGGCGATGTCTGAACGAATTCTAAATTTAGTTTATGATTATTTATATTGTAAAATATATATTTTTGTCTGAACTACTGGTTTTATAACCTAATGGTTTGTCGAATACAAATTTTAACGGGTGGCAACAATCATACTTCATACTGAATTTATAAATGCGAAAGTTTGGATGGATGGATGTTTCTAGCCTAAACGGCTGAACGGATTTCAATGAATTTTGGTACAGATAGTGGATAGTCTGGAAGAGAACATAGGCTACTCACTTTGTTTCTAATTTCACGCAGAGTCACGGGCGGAAGCTCATTACAAATGAAATAAAGTAATAATGTCTCACGTAAGTGTAAACAATATAAAATGAATCCTAAATATTAGACATTACTTTTTATTTGTGTTGTTGTGTTTAAATGCATCATTGCATTACGAAAAGATCACTTAAAATATTATATTTTTCCAATATGAAATGCGCACGAAACTTAATGCTAGCTACTTTATTTCTATATGTACATATATGTATTACACTAATATATTTTATGAATCACAGATAGGGTGACTGGACAATTTTTATCTATGTAAAATCATTGATAAGCCATGCACATTGTACATAATCGTATATTCTATGCGAAAGAACAAGTATAACACATGCAAAAACGCAATAAATACTTCTTTTGGAGGACCGCATTTGTCCTCTTGCTGATAATAGCGAGCGTCTAAAAATGGTCTACATAGCATATTGAATATTGTAACCTTTCATCAGCCTTAAATTATATGTGTTACGGAAAGATTATTACCTTCGTCATTTTAAAAATATCGCAAAGGTATTTTAAACTTACTGTTTATTAAGAGAAAAATTAATAACTGATAAAATCAATACATTTCTCGACACTCTATAAATTAACGAAATTCAAATTTTATTAGAGCATTAATAACGTAATTATTAGATGAGGTCGACTTTTTCCGTGAAGTTTATTTTTCCTGTTTTACAATAACAACATTTTAATTTCACCCGGAATCGTATTAGAATAATATTTTAACTCAGAAAATAAAAGTAAAATAAATGAGAAGTCGCTGTATATTTCAAAAAATATGTAAAAAGCTACCTAAACCAAATTCACAACACATCAGTCTATGTCATATCTAGAAATCGATAGAGGGCCAACATTTACTTATAGGGGGGTGATTAGGACATCTACTGGGCGTGAGAGGGGTTCGGGTAGTTTGATAACGTAATCACAATTTTCTAATACACAATAGGGGGATCGATAGTAACATATACGATATTAAACCAAATTGTTATAGGGTTGTTCCCTTCGTTAACCACGAATCATGCAACAAAATGCCTTATTGACAACATTTATTGGTAAGATATTTTGTATAAAGTTAACTAAGAACTAAGTGTATGAAATCTAATAATAAGTGACTCAATTTGAATAACAGTCCGATACGTATCGCTAAGTCAGTTAAGTTGGTAGTAAATATGACTTTAACGATCATAACTTAACTTAACTTTAACACTGTAAACTATAATATTAAAAGAAACTTTCGTAGTTTAAAGAAATTCTGCGATATAATCAAATTAATAAATATTAAAATCAAAGTAATTCGTAAAATATTCGACGTATAACAAATTTAACAGTTCACTAGAGTGCAGCATATAGCCCGGTTTGTTTGCGTTCGCAAACTGGTCTGGTTATTTAAAAGCGATCTAGTAGGAATAGCAATTTGAGCTTTCAGCGTTTCACATCACGGAGCGGAATATGTAAAGCTAGTTTCACACAAGGGTAGTACAGTGGTGCAGTACAGTGTAATAGTGCAGTACGCCACTGACGTTAAGATGAAGAAGTCTTAACCGAGATATCAGTCAAAAGAACACAATGTGTCAAATGTATGAAAAACAACAAAACACGACTCACTCGACATATCTAAGGTTTTTCAGTTCCACAAAATTATGTCAACGATATCGCTAATCGAATGTAATAGTTACTTTTTTGGCAGTGTTTTGAAACAAAAGAAATATTGAACTATCTACTGCTCTGTTTTCTCTGCCCTCGTGTGAAACCATGAAGCTCGAACGGGCGCGAACGCTTGTCAAAACGTTGGCGCGTGTATGAATCAAACGTGTTTTTCCTTTTGGAATAACTAAATGAACGTTGAGTGCTAAGGTTTTTCATGTAAAGAACATGTTAGTCTTTTCACATAACCGTACTTCGATACGCTACACATTCTGTACTGCTAAGTAGGAAGTGACAAAAAGTATCGGTTTATAAACTCAATTTCCACTGCGAAACACATGTACAAACTATTGTCATTCCTTTCATTCTGTGCAAAAACAAATGAGATATCAATACGTTATTCAGACAATTGGATAAACATTCGTGGGGCATAAATCTTTATTACTTCAATGTTACGTTGGAAAGCTACCGTATGTTAAAAATAGTGAAAGTAATTAATCACGTCTAGAATATTCTATGATAGCAGATGGATTAGTCAACATCTAGACTAAAGTTCATTGCATCGCAAAACACGGCGCCTCGGGCCAGTCTGTTTGTTGCTAGTAAACATGACGGGGCAACGGCGTCTGCTTCAGGAAGACGATGACGTCATTACGTGAAGTCATTTTGCATTAACTGCGATTATTATCACATGCTGTTATGCATTTGTTTTTAAAATTTAGTTACAATAACCATATTTATTCAAAAAAAAAACATCACGCAATCAAACTGAATAAATATTGTATATTAATTTTATTGTTTGTATTTTAATCTGTATTCAGTTTATTACAGCAGGTTCCTTCAAAGATAAGGTTATAATCAAAGATAAAGTTGACACAATAACTCATGGACTCAAGTTTGATGCAACAGATTATTGAGTTGATATCTGTATAACAATGGAGGCTTAACAACCTTTATTATTATAGATTACATGATACGGACGCAACTCCACATTTACATACACACATAACTGTGAAGCTGAGGTTATGTCGTTCATGAAGTATGTGTCTTATACTTCAGCTCTTCAGCCTGTAAGTTCCAAAGCGTACAAGTACAAAGGCTAAAATTAATAATTCTAATTAGTCTTTGCAACTTTTGAACACCGATTATGAATTTATCTTCACATAATTGTGATGCTACGAACGTACGTAGCAGTAGCAACCCTACTTACATGATTCGTTTCAAACTATACATATTGTACCATATTAAAAAAATGCTACTTAAAGCCGCACTTAGAATCAGTTAACAGTCACCTATGTAAGCCCTTAGTGTAGATTTGTCTTAAGAATACAAATAAGAGAGATTTTTCTCATCGTCAACCAGATTC